TTTTTGTCCACTGGGTGTTAATATAGAGTTTCAGTGTGTGTGTGTGTGTGTGTGTAAATAAACTAACAAAATTAGCAATGGAATTTTGCGAGTACGGTATTAAATGACGACCACAATATAAATGTGTGTTATTTGTATATTTTGGTTTTTAGTAAGTGCAGGACGTGCGTTGGCAGTTGGCACGATTCGGTTACGGTTACGGTTTGGGTTTCGCTTGCGCTTTCGGTTACAGGAGTTTCGAGTTGGTATGCAGTTGGCTAAAGTTTTTGGCATTGATTTTACAATTTCAATTTGGCATTAACATAGAAATAATGAACACAACTTAACGAAATGGAAAAAAAAAAAATTGTAACAGAAAATACAATTTTCTTTTGGTTGAACAGTCCAACAAACACAACAAAAACACAAAAATAATGGTAACAATGAGAGAGAGAGAGGTTTGATCCATTTTGGGGGGATCCATTGAATACATAAAATTTACCTTGCTGCGTTAACTGGACAACAGCGGCGGGCAGTTTTGTCGAAATGGCCACTGGTGTGGCGCCCACAGCTGGAATCTTGATCTCCGCCTCCGGAGGATGAACATTACCACTTGCCTCGACTACGCTGCTGCTTGTGCTGTTAGATATGCTTGCTGTAGTGGCTGCAGCTGGGACGGGGGGACTGCTGCTGCTTTTGTTGCTCGATTGGCTTGCTGTTGCTGCTGTCGCTGAGGGAGTTATCGTTGTGTTGCTGCCAATCTTTTCTGGCAATTGAGATTGCGTATTCTGTGGAGAAACAGAAAAAACTCTCTTTGGTATTCGGTCAAAAAGAAAAACCTCAACGGTACCGTTGATAGCAATATTCCATCAGACAAATGCCTCGCAACTGCGAACATCCTTTTAACAGCCAAAATCAATCAAAAATAGATCGATAATAGCGCTCAGTTGAGTTTTAACATCACTTGGCTTGGCTAACTTATCTAGGCGTTCATAGTAATTTGTGCTAACCGTTTTCACTGTGCTATTGCTGTTGCTTCCGTGCACCTGTTGTACAGTCGTCCCTGTCTTGCTTGTTGTTCCGCTAACCACCGTTAGAGTCGTCGTCTCCACTGTTGCTTGATGCGTTGGTGTTCTCTGGGTTTGGGCCGCACCGGCTGCCGCTGACGTGCTCGGCTTATCCTCGTGTACCAGCTGATCTATACGATTTGCATTGCTGTAGCTGATGAATTGCGGGGTCGGTGTCTTTTTACGCCACGCAGGGTAGTCCATCATACTGCCGCCGTTTTGTAGGTAAAAGTATTCGGACACATTTTCAAGATGTCTGTGGAGGGGAATTTAAAGCGTGAGCACGATAACCCACACTATGCAATGCAAGGCGATGATCGATCATACCTTTCCTTAAGAGTACGCAAAATCTGCAATTTCTGCTGAAGAATGCGCTTCTTGAGCGCATTCGAGTCCTGCAGGGCTTCCGAAGATACCCCACCGACTTCGCTGCTGGAGGCCACAGAAGCCGGCAGCAGGGAGCCAACAATGTTGCTGCTGGCAGTCCCGACAATGCTGCTCGCCTGACTCGAGTTCGGACTGTTGTCCAAACGCTGACGCTTGGCCTGCGGTGGCGAAGCGGAGGCTTCTATGGTGCTCGTTGTGGCGGAGTAGGCGGATGAGACGAGTGTGGTGGAAGGTGGTGCTGCTACTGGCGTGGCTGCCGTTGCCTCTGTCGTTTGCTGTTGTGGCGGCAAGGGCGACAGCGGCACAGGCAGCTGCGCACTGGGCAGCTGCTGCTGTTGGTGTTGTCTACTGATGCTGCGGACTCCTTTCGGTTGTGCTGAATAGCGGGAAGCCGGTAGGGCTGCTGCTGCTGATGTTCTATTGCTAGTCACTGTTGTTGTTGTTGTAGCCGATGTTGTAGTTGTGTTTAATTTTGGATGTGCAACTGATTTTTCCGTAGAGTGTAAAGTTACGCGGTCTGGCACAGCAGGAGGGGCCGGGCTTAGCCCTTCATGCCCCCCTCCTGCTGAATTACCTTCATTCATGTTTGAGACATCTGCAAGAACACCAAAACGATATTGAACTCTCACTATTACTTGGCATTATCATTGCTTTGGCGGGAAACATTCGAAACCCGGCAGAGGAGGCAAAGGTCTGCACCGACCTTTTGCCTGGTGGAACCTTTTTTCAAAACTAAAACTACATTTATATCATTCTATGCATCCGAAGTGCGCAGCGTAGTATCCAATATCAGGGAAGCAGAGCAATAATATAACAGTCATCCTCAAATGAGCTTATCACAAATTGTTCCCTTCCCCCTTCTTCATCGAAAATGCAAGTCTGCGTATGAAAATGGCATCGGTTTTTCTTCCATTTCCCAGACACACGCGTTTTCTAAAGCCAGATTACGTGATTTAATATCACCATTTGTACATGTATTTCATTGACAATTAATTCTAAGAATTAAATTTTTTTAAATTGATATTCGAACTCTCAAGCAGGCCATCTCTCTTAAACACATATACACGTGCGAAAACGCCGCAGTCAGACAGGGACGACCATATATGCGACATGGCGTCGGTTCTTTGTGTTGGTGTGCGCAGTAGTAGACATTTTTTCACAATTTTTCTTATGCCTACCTCAGATGGGGAGAAATTTTAATCACAAAATATCCACATCTCTGCGATGCATCCGTGCAGAAAAGTTGTGCGAACGCGTTGTAAAAATCGTGCCGCACTCGATTATGCAAAAATAAAACTGTATTTTCTCCACTAAAAACTAAAACTAAATTATTTCTTCTGCGGAAGAGCGTGTCGCACACGATTTTTGACAGATGACAGATAGAGGTGTCAAACCATCGATGACACTATCGATGGTATCGATATTTTGCTGCTAGCCTCTACTATCGATGGTTTTGAGACTATCGAGCTACAGTCGTTGCGCTTTTAATATGTTTGGATTGTCTGCTATAAGATACGAAGACACATTTGTAAACAAATCATCGACAGGTGGCATCTAATTTTTACAATGGACAAGTTCCTAAAAGGTTTCAATGGTTTTTTAATAATTATTAGAGCTATCACGATAGTATCGATTGTTTTTTCAAAACATTCAACGTTGATATTTCTCGATTTTGATATTCCGTTTAATATTACTAGCTAGCTGGGATTCTCAGCCCTAAACAAATAATTTTATCCAATTCCTCAATGAATTTTGTTTAGGATTGGTTAGTTTTCAAAACTATTTTTCATTAAATTGCTTACATATTAAGGTTCAAACAAAAGCGGCCAAAGCATAAAACGTAAATGTTGACTAAATGTGACGTCAGTGTTGCTGGTCAACCAAGTTTCATTTATGCGTATGTACTTTTGTATACCTTATTTCTTTTAATTGATGCTAATTTTGTTGTTCCAAGCTCCATTGAAACCTTATTTATGATTTTATACTAGATTGGCATGTTTTTTACCTATTAATGCATATGTTTTGTTTTATATATATACATTTATCCCGGTTTTGATACCTATTATTGGTACCCGTGAGCTGCAAAATTTCGTTAATATATTTAAAACAGAGACTGGCTAGTTTCGGCATTAATTGGAGCCTGAATTTACAAACAGTATCTCAAGTCCATAATATCTATTTTCCCAAGGTATTCAGACTTGTTGCTCATTCCGTGCCAAAGTTGCACAACAATGCTGCTACTTCATTTCCCCATGTTGCTGAAATTTTTCCCATACAAATCAAATGTGTCATACGGGAACGCGTATGGAATGATGCAACAATGAACTCATTCCATACGCGTTCCCGTTAAGAACATGTTTCTCATACCACGAAAATGAGGGGAAAGTCACCACAAAAACGCTTTCTTCACCACTGAAAAGAGAGAAAATTTTAAAAACCCACCACGATTTGGGAGCGAATAATATCGATATTTTTGTGCGCTAAATGAGATAGGCGGTCATTTTCAAATGTACATATATGGAAAAATAAATATTTCACTTGATTTGTTTTGTCGAGTGGGACTGAGAAACGTCATTTTCAAAATATTCCGATGGCACGCCATAACATTAGGGCGAAAACTTAACATAACATAAGTTCGAAAACTTACATAACATAAGGCGAAATCGTCAAACAGGAAGAAGAAGAAAAAAACTCATCAAACAGGAAGAAGAAGAAAAAAAACTCATCAAACAGGAAGAAGAAGAAAAAAACTCGTCGAACAGGAAGAAGAAGATTTTCATAATATACCGCCAAATATATACCGTATTTTGGTATTTCAGGAATAGAGTACGGCAACGCTGAAGGAGTTGATCTTTTTCTGTCTATCTTGCAACCCTGATGTGATACAGTGCTGGGAAGTTTATTTTCAGCAAAAGATGGCGCTGTAGCGAAACTGCTGATATTGGGAAAATAAGAGAAGTGTTTCATCGACTCCGTGGCGCAACGGTAGCGCGTCTGACTCCAGATCAGAAGGTTGCGTGTTCAAATCACGTCGGGGTCAGTTATAACAGATTTTTTTTAAATACTATTTTTTTTGTCTTCTTATAATTACATGGTAACCCCAAAACAGTTCAGTTGGTTTTAATAAAAATATGACAATTTTTGAGCTTTCCTTCAACGTAAAATAAGACTCGAATGCTAAAGCAATATGTATATACAAAAATAATACATTTCAACATTATAAACGAATAATGCACAAAGAAAAAAAGTTATGTTGCATCGGCCGGGAATCGAACCCGGGCCGCCCGCGTGGCAGGCGAGCATTCTACCACTGAACCACCGATGCTTGTGACTTTTGAATGTTTAAAGCACTCTAGAGTCTACGTAATATAGTTGGCCTTGACAGCCTGTTGGTGTTGTGCCATATGGGGCTCTGGACACCCTCCCCTCAATAGGACTCCGTGGCGCAACGGTAGCGCGTCTGACTCCAGATCAGAAGGTTGCGTGTTCAAATCACGTCGGGGTCAATCTGAAATATCATATTTTTTTCTCTCTTTCTTTTTTATATGTTAAACAAAGCATTTCAACAATATTTAAATACATAATTTATTGTATAATTTATAAGCAGCTTCGATTCGATTCAATACAATTCACTACAAGCAACAACATGTAACATAATGAGCATTTACGAGTAGTTTTAACATTTAAAATCGCCAATATTCACGATAGTTTTGAATTTAACTTTTAGGTTGTACATATGTATGTATATGTATATGTATATATAAATACAGGTATGAGTATATAGGTGTATTCGATTACTTGTTACGTACTCTGTATACGATTATATTGTAAATTCCCTAAACGGTTTGCGTTTGCGTTGATTTATTATCAGTAGTTGTTCCCTTATTGCGCGATGCACTCGCATCGTTAAAGTGCCATAAATTCAAAATAATCCTACCCAACACCAGCATTAAATTCTGTTCTTCTGCGTACTATCCATCTTACCTTTTTCTTGGTACACGTATTTGGCTAACAGAATTTTTCAACAATTTTTCAACACGAGTCAACTATTAAAATGGCTGCAGAATTGGCACTAACTAAGAAAAATCAATCCTAAAAACATAAACTAGTGGACCCTGTGTTTCTTTTTCTCTTTTCGTATAGTATGTATTGTATTGTAGGTGTGTATGTGTTTTGTAAGTATGTATGCGCCTCCAAAAATATTGTAGGATTTAGTTGATTTCGGATATCCAATTCCTTGTTCTCTCCACGTTCCATGTCCCACGTCCCACTCTATTTGCTAGTGACTAAGTTCAGGAATTCCTCGCGAGTCTTGTGATCGTCACGGAACACACCCAACATTGTCGACGTAACGGTTTTGCTATTGATTTTCTGCACGCCCCGCATAACCATACACATGTGTCTGAAAAGATGTAAGAAGAAGGGAGAAACATTTAATCCAGGTTTCTTCACTTATAGATCTCTTTTGCAGCTTTCGAAGAACGATGATCACAAGCATCGGTGGTTCAGTGGTAGAATGCTCGCCTGCCACGCGGGCGGCCCGGGTTCGATTCCCGGCCGATGCAAAATACTTTTTTTTCTTTTTTTTACTACTTTCATATAATGTACTTACACTCCCTCAACAACAACGGCCACGCCTGCAGGCTGAACGGCCTGAGTTACAGCCACTGCAATTTGCTTTGTCAGGCGCTCCTGCACTTGCAATCGACGCGAAAAGATCTCCACAATACTGAAAATAGTTCAAATTTAGTTATATTTATTTCAATAAATGAATATTCTTGCTTGGGGTGAGGTCCTACCGTGCCAGCTTGCTCAGTCCCAGGATCTTGTTGCAAGGCAAATAACCGATGGAAACTTTGCCGTAGAAAGGCACCAAGTGGTGCTCGCACATGGAGAACATTTCAATGTCCTTGACAACCACCATCTCGTCATGATCCTCATCGAATACTGCGCCGTTCAGTACATCTAAAGAAAATAAACAATAAAAAAGAATAAAAAAAGAAGCACCACCAATCATCCCAAAAAAATCCTATTTTTGCAATCTGAGATGACCCCGACGTGATTTGAACACGCAACCTTCTGATCTGGAGTCAGACGCGCTACCGTTGCGCCACGGAGTCCTTGTGTTTCGAGACGTCAAATGCTCAATTTAGACAAAAGCACCACTGGTTCTGGGTCTGGGGCTTACACGTGATTTATGGCGCGCATAATGGAGATTTATTTGCTGCATAACTGAATGTTAAGTTCAAGTGTGTGACTGTCTATATGTGTGCGTGCAATAGGACTGTTGAGGGTTCAGGGCGATGGGGTTGTTATGGAGAGGCAGCTTTCGCAACACTCACTTTAAATGCTTTAAGTAGTCCACCCACCCACGCACTCCTGGCGCTCTTTCTCTCCCCCCTCTCAACATACATTTAGAAAAGCTCGAGTTCTCTAGTGTGTTTCCGGATGGAAATCAAAAACCCCCCTCCCTCTCTTGCTCCTAGCATATTTTGACTGTTTTCTTTCAATGTCAGTTTCGCAAGTCACGTTGACGCGAAGTTTGGCTTTTTGGTTCTACGAATTTGGCTGGAATATCCACCACAACATCACACTCCATTTTCGAAGGCTATTCACTTTCGCTTCTCCCATTTGGCTTTCAAACGGCCAACAGAGTCTCGCTCGTGCCTCGGCGGCCCCCGTTGCTGCTCAATTTACATGCGATTTTATTTGACAAACTGTAGAACCTGATTTTCATCTCGAAGAACCGGTCCGCGTTAGCACGTATCAGTTTATTTGCAATGTTGTTTCGTTCCAAGCATTTGATTACATGACAAGTTCAAATGCAGTTCCAATTAAAAAGGCGGAGAAACTGCATGAAAAACGCCTCGAAATTGGGGCATCCTATTATCGAAAATACTATATACGGCTAAGGTACGTTACGGCTTGCAACGGTCAATCTAAACAACGGGTCTAACATACATAGGTACAGCGGAGGTCATCTGAATAATGCTAGCTACTGAAAGAAAAGGTATACACATTGTTCAACATACATAGGTTTCTACTGTACCCACATATGTGGTAGATTAACCTACTAAAGACTACGCTGCAAAACTGCTAAGCTTTTCATGCTCTCCATGTATAGAGAACTATATTGTTTGGAAACAATAAGAAATTCCAAGCACTCCCTATCTTTATTTCCACCGCAACTGTAACTCAAACGGACTGCAATTAGTCGTAATGCACTAACAGACTCAGGAACCCCCCCGATAAAAGTGAAGCACCTCGTGGGCAGACCAAGCTCATGAATCACTTTCTGTACACGAAACTAGTTTTAGATGGCACTTTTTGGAAATGCCATGGAACCAATGACGCACTCGGCACAGGATGAACAACGGGAACGATCAGTGACCTGGGTGCTAATTACCAGAAAGCGAGACAGCCAGGTGATGAGTGTGGAAAGGGGACTTTACTTACCCTCCAAACATTGATCGTAGCCCTTGGTGAAGTACAGCATGGCCTTGGCCGCCCGCTCGGGTGTCTTGATCAGGCCCTGGCGATCTGGATTCTCGCCGAGGCCGCCCAGCAGAAGGCGATAGGAGCGCGCCATGTCCGGCAGCAGAGCCTCGCGCGTCGGTGGCTTGTGGTCCAGCTCCAGGTCGTGGTGGAAAGTGCATTTCTCGTGGCCTGAAATGCAAAAAGAAGACGGAAGAGAAGACTCAGGTTAGATTGAACCCATCATCAGCAACAACATATTATACTATGGAGCGAGATAAGGAGACAATGCGCCCCCCCTTGGCGTCTGTGTGTGGCTGGCTATAGATGGCGATAATAAAACTGTTCTAGATCGAGGCACATCTCTAACCCTTTGACCCCAAACAATGCTCTGGAAGGGCCGTATCAGTACGTAGTCGTATATGGCCAAGCGGCAACGGGATGCCTCCGTTGCTTATCGGCAAAGAGTTTTGTGGTGTGTCTTTTGGTCTCCTATCCGCCTGGCTACACCCTGCCCCTGCCCTGCCCCATCGGGTCCTACAGACGCAGCCCCAAAACGACCTCCCACTACCTGGCGTTGTCGATGTACGCGGTGTCATTGGTGTTGTCGGTTGTGTACCGTCGTTTTCCGGAATGCTGCCGTTCGTCTTCAGTATGAGGCGGGGACGATTTGTGGCACCACCGCTGCTCGGCACCAGCTCATCCGTGGGCGTGCCCACAGCGGATTCGGATCCTGGCTGTGGTGCAACAGGCTCCTCCGGCTGCGACAGGGCCCGGTCCGCCAGGGAGGAGGTGCCCGAGGTGCTACTTGTTGAGCAGACGCTGTTGTTGCGGCCGCGCGACAGGATGTGGGCCTGCGGGAAGTTGGTGTCGTCGATGGCGTCGTTCAGTTCGCTGGCACTCATCTCGGACAGTTGGCGTGTGAAGCTCATTGCGAAACGCGGCGGCGGTTGGCGGTGGCGGTGGAGCGTTGAAGCAGTAAAGCGGTGGCTGGATGGAGCTCAAATATTTGTCACTTTTGAACAAAAAGATGCGTCTCGATAGTAAATACACAAAATCTTAAACTTTTTTTTTCACTCGATTCTTTCTATTATTCGTTGAACTTTGTCTTTAGCTCCGTCTTGTGCTGGCGCGTTGAAATGCTGTGCTCCACTGAGTGGCTGCTGGGGCCAGCAGTGGCAATAAGAACCCCCAAAGCAGAGCTTTGAGCGACAGAAAGCTTCACGCAGCGTCTCATAAGCTCCAACCACACACTCCTACAGTTTTCTGTCCCAGTGGCTGTGCAACTGTGCAGCTCTCCTCTCTGTCGCTCTCTCGCGCGGACTTGTTGCTGCTTGGCTCTCTCTCTTTGGAGAGGGGTCGGTCTGAGACTGGCGCCAACTGGAAATCTTCAAGGTTCTACAAGGAGCAGCATTAGTCTCTGTCAAGTGTTGAAATGTCAATCTACTCGACTCTGCCACATCACTCGATAGGAAGCCTCTCAACAAACAATTCCAAATTCCCTGCCCCTGCCACTGCCCCTGTCCCTGCTCCTGCTCCGTCCCACCCGAAAAACAGTCTGCCACATCATGAGCCACCGTGTCCAGCCGCGATGCGACGATTTCGATGTGATTGGTGCCGTGCCGCGCGACCTCTCTATCATCAAGAACTTCCTGAAGAGGGACTGTGCCGTCAAGCGGCTAATTGACATCGAGGAGGACTTCCTGCAGCAGTGTGTGGATCGTGGCGAGGATCCTTTGAAGCCCAAGAATCAGCAGCAGCAGCAGCAGAAGAAAACCAATGGCAATGGGCATGAGCTTGAGGCGAAGCCTCGTGATTCCTGTGCCAGCAGAACACCAAATGGTGAGGGTGTCCCCAACTACTGTGATCCCTGCGAGCGGCTGAAGACATCAGTGGTGCTGGAGGAGGTTTGTGCCGAGTCGTGTGATCTGCAAATAACCCTCAAGGTAACCCACATTCCTTCTGATCCTGCAGCTCACGAAGCCAGCGATCACCAATCCGGTGTACAACCAGATGCTGCCGACATATTTCGACGAGGAGACCGTGATGGGCACATCCCTGCCCGTGAAGTTTCGTTTCCGGCGCAAGAACAACGGCAACGACGTGGAAAAGAGCACCAATCTGATGTGCACCTCCACCAATAACACGAATGTCGTGGTGCTCACCAACTGCTGCGACATAATGGTGTGGCCCAGCCAGCGGGTGGCCCAGATGAACCGAGTGCCCGTGACTATGATCTCGGGCTCCGGCGACCTCACCGAGTACATGCTGGAGGAGGAGACCATCATGTGAGAACGGGTCAAAGGGTGCGAAGGGGATGCTGTGAGGAACTTCAGTGGCAAATAAAATCAAAATCGTTGGCCCAAGCATAACAAAAGAGTCGTTTATTAAGGGGAAGCTATGAGAAACGAAACCCTCCAATGGCAAATGGGATTCATGTGGGGCTTCGTCTGAATGCTAACAGCCACTACCCCGCAATGGTTAGAGTATTCCCCTTGCATAAAATCCGAATTTATCAATACGAATCCCAAACCGAATTCTAAGAGCACTCACTACATGCAAATTCGGTCAATCTTTGACTCTGTTCTGTTTGACTCGCACTGAGGCTGAGTCTGAGTCTGTGACTGACTTGCGACTGACTGTTGATATTCAATCGGAGACAGTGACAGAGACAGTACGGAATAATTCATCTGGAAATTGCTTAAGGCAAGGCGGTCGGTCTTACGTCTTGTTTACATAATCGGAACATAGCCCACAGCTGCAGATGACATAGGCATTGGGAATTCTATTCGAGCTCTGGCCGGTCACAGTGATTCCTCTTTTGAGTGTACTTTACTTTTGCATCTTGAGTCATGCATTTCACTTGATCTGTATATATATTTTAGATTTCGAAGAAATTGTCTCGCCGGAAAACCCTTAAATATACTTTTCCTGAGCCGCTCCCATTTGTGTAATTTTTGTGCTGCGAGGGTGTCAGGACAGGGAGCTACATAGTTCGTTTCTGTTGCAGTTACAGAAACAGTTCAGTTCTGTTCTGTGTCAACCTGTTGCGGCATGTTCCCATGCAATTAAGTCATTATTCACATATATCAAAAGGGCAGGTGTTCTTCGCTCTCTCTCCCTCTCTTTCTTTCGATCTGGAATGCCATTCATTCTCTGGGGGATTCTCAGCGGCTAGGGTTGCCACCGCTACCGCCTGCCAGTGCCTGGCATTTGTTGAGAGAATTTTTTAAATGCTACAATTAGCAGTGGCAAAATACCCGCGCAGGTCTCTTTTTTCGATTTTATACAGTATTACTTATATATATATATCTTTTTTTTTATTGACCGCAATCGCTCAAATGTGAAGTACTGCCGACTGGCCTGGGGGCTGGCGGGGGGGGCTTATTAGTCACACAAACAAAGAAACTGAAAACGGCCACAGAAATAACGAAGCCCACGAAGCCAAGTTTGGCCGGGGCTCGCTCGCAATTAAACGATTTTTAACCTTCACAAAAAGTAGTTCAGGTCTCCCTCCCCACTGGCTCCCCTACCCCTGCACTACACGCTCCCACTCCGATTGGAAGACTGTCTGCATGTTTGGCCAAATACCGGATTAAGACGAGGAGTTTATGTCATGTCTCTAACTCTGCTCATGCGTCTCGTCTCGTCTCGCTCGTCAGCGGTTATGGCTTTGCCACTGTACTTGTACTTGTACTTGTACTTGTACATGGCTCATTCATGGCCCATGGCCCAGAGCTCATATCGCTCTGCTCTCATTGAATATGCCGATCTGTTCCGATCCGATCTGCGGTAAGGTAAATGCCAAGCAAATCTTTCAATGTCAATGTCAATACCCGTATAGTCCATTTCCACTTCCATTTCCATTCCCGGCCAGTGGCAGGTATGCTTATGCTCCTCTTCTCTTCTCGATCTCCGGCATTCTGTGGCTGTGTCTGTGTCTGCCTATGTGTGGTTTTTGTATATAATCGTTTGAAGAGTATGTACTGATATTTGAGTTTTCAGTCTGTGGCATATGTAGACAGCGGTCTTATGTGCAGCATCGCCGGAAATCGGAGTCGGCGCATCATTATGCGCATCGGATTGAATTCCATTTCTGCTCTCTAATCTATGCCTCTGATGTGGAGTGATGCAATATCTTGTCCAGATTACAATTAGACGCCACCTGCAGCCTTGAAGGTGTGACGATTATTCAGCCTTAGCTTTGAGCTACCTAAGTGGAGATCTACAGAGGAGTACACTCACTACCCCTCATAGCTACAGTTTACGCAGGCAGGAAATATGTACCTACTCAGTTCTATTGTTCAAACAGGAAGAAAGATGAACAGATCCATTTGCAATTCCTGTTCTTGCACACACACACACACACACACACACTCACCGTTTCCGTTGCCCATGTTGAGCATTTCCAGTTTCAGCTGTTGACTATTTTTGGCGCCTAGGACGGGCACAACGGCGCCGGCGGAAGCCGCTGCGGGGATCGCGACGGCTGCGGCTTCAACAGCAACGGAAGCTGCATCCGCGGTGCAGGCATCGCCATTTTGAGGGCTGCTGCCATTTTGTTCACTGGCTTGGGGCTTCATTTTGTTCGACTGTTCGAATGTTTGGATAGTAACTAAACGATTTAAATAGATTTGATTTGGTTCTCTAGCGTACGAATCAATCACGTTGATTGTTGAAAAATGTATTATTAAATTGTTAATTATTTTTTGTTGTATTTATTTTAGCGGCTGCTTTCGTTAAGTGTTCAGTGTCGCGCTCCTTTCCTAAGCATCTACCCGACTAAACGGCCAGATTTTAGTTGTAACCTTTTTATTATGAAAAATCGAAAGTTCTTTTGTCGGAGAGCAAGCGCGTGCGAGAGTGGGAGCGCGAATGCGAATACGATTGGAGTGAGTGCCGTGCCAGTGAGTTTTATCTCGCTTTTGTGGTTGTGCTGTGCTGCCTTAACTGTATTCAAGCTTCGCTTCGCTCTGCTCTGCTCTGCTCTGAGTAATGGCCGTGGCCGTTCGTGTCTGTTTGCAAAAGCTTTCGATTTGGTGGGTGTTTGTTCTCCCCCCGACAAGCGCTCCCCCGCAACACAACACACACACGAGGACTTCAGGAAATGCGAGAGCCCCCCACAAAGCTGGGAAAAGTTTCAGTTTCAGATTCAGTTACACAAATTTAAATTCAATTAAAAAACATGCTGACAGAATAAACATTCGCAAAATCACATCCATTAAGAAAACGTCGAGCATTGATAACCTGGAACCGCGTTATTAACGATACGACTCACTGGCAATCATGAGACTTGCAGCCATAACAATAATTTTACATATTTCAGGTTAAATAATGCATTAACGAAATTTGTTCGATGTTCGATCAACAGTTCAAAATTCGGCTGATTGCGAGCCCCCAAAATGGAATTATGTATGTCTCAGGCAACTATAAATGCCAAGGAACCAACTCAAAACGCCAACTTTGCTGGCTAGTGTAAGTGTAATGGCTGTTACAACAAATGCAGTTTATACTCGTAGTTTTATTTCTAACTCCTCGCCTCAGCTCCATTAAATGATAATACAAATACAAAAGAGCAAAGCTCTCGGTTGCGCATGCGCTGGCACTGGCGCCCTTTCGCCGCCTTGAGCGGATTGGAAGCGGAGTTAGTCATGCCCGCGAAATTATTAATAATATTAATTAGCCATTAATTGGACGTTTATGTCTCATTTGCATGGCATCCAAACCAACACAAAAAAGGTATAATTTGTGAAGTTTGTTCTGCCTGTTGCTCCGTTTTTAATGGCAATTCAATGTCATTGAAAAGCGCTGTTAAATTATTACCGGAAGGAAGTGTGACGCCGAGCCGGTTGCCACGCAGCACAACTCACAACTCCTGTACTTGGCCGCCCACGCCCTCTTTGCCCTGCGCCTGCCGCTCCAGTTTCTCCTGCTCCATGCTCTCCAGCTGGGCGAGCGTCAGCAGGGATATGCCCAGCTGGTCCTCGCGGGTGAACGGCTGGGCCATGCGTCGCAGCCAGCGCCTGGCCAGTTGCACAGCCTCCTCGGTGCTCAGGTTGCAGAAGCTGTCGACCAGGTGCTCCTGTATCCACTTGGGCAGACGTGAGCGTTTGTCCTGACGCGAGAAGCGCTTGTCCGCGAATATCATGATGCCGTAGTCCGTCTTTCCGCGCAGCGCCCGGCCCACGCATTGTGCTGCATGCCGCATCGCGTCAAAGGTCAAAAAGTCATTCTCACGTATCTGAAACTGATCGCGCAGGTAGTCGAGGCGAGCCTTGAGTATGCGCGACTGCGTGTACACATAGGGGATTCCGAACATGAGCACCGCGCGACCATAATGATGGTCGAAATCCACACCCTCCGAGACCTTGCCACGCGCCACAGCCAGCAGCACGGCGCCGCGACCACAATCGCAGGCCTGCAAAGCATGAAAGGTCAGTGGAAATATGCAATATCAAATTATGTACACCCTTGCAGATCTATGAGGTGGAAACATGATTCGGATCTACAACAGATCAGAGCTGCCAGCGATCCAAACAATTCCACAACACCTCAATCTGCAAGGGTATGGGGGTATGGATGAAAATGAGAGCGAGGCAAGTGGCAAACTGTGTCAAGCACAGCGGAGGAGAAGCCATAGGAGTAGCATAGATCGCATGGCCTCACCTTAACATAGTTCATCAAGGCATAGCTGGTCTCGGCATTGTCCTGAGTCTCGATGAACAGCAGCTTGTAGCGCAGCAGGGTATCGACAATGCCCTGATCGTACCAGGAAGCCACAACAGACTCCAGGTACAGATATGAGGTGAAGAAACAGACAATGCCATCCGGCACTGTCTTGGCCACCTCCACCAGCAGCTGACCGTAGTTCCGGATGACTGCAGTGTCCTCGCGAGTCTCGAACTTGGACGAAATGGTCACCTGATCGTTGCCCTTGGATACGATCTGTGGGGAATATCAGCCGGAAGTCAGTCAATTTATTTTCAATTGGCAAACAAGGCTGGCAGCTAGTCTCACCATTGGAAGAAGGCAGGGGCGAGCCAGGGTCATGGTGAAGCTGCTCATGACCACTGGATCAAAGTCGAGTATCTTCGGGTACATGTCCATCGGCGACAGGGTGCCCGAGGTGATGACAACTGTTTGAAAGCGGGAGAAAACCGGCGCCATGGCAATGGACGAGTCCAAGCAACTGAAATGCAGTATAGGATTCGATACGGTGGGCGTCTTATCGTCAAAGGGCTCTATGATGATGGTGAATCCCTTGGTGTAGGTGGACACCAGTGTGGCAAAATGTGTGATCTATAGAAAAAGTGCATTTTATATGTGACAGGGAGCCAATACCCTAATCAGATCAAATAACCCACCAGGGTCAGAGCTCCGTACTCCGTCATGTCGGTAATCTCGAGAGTGCGCAGGAGACTGGACAGACGTTCCGCACAGAAGCGCAGCGGCTTGCGTTCAATGCATATCTTGGCGGAGATATCCTTGAGGAAGCCGGCTGGGGACTCCTGCACCACATGATGGACGCGCAGTCGCGTCTTAATGAACTCGATGAAGCGACGCAGAAAGCTGAGAAAGTGGTCCGCGTTGCGTATGTTGCCAGGCACCACCTCGGTCAGCACATCGTTGGGCAGGACCGGATTGGCCATAATCATGTCCGTCTCACGTTGTACGCTGGCATCTTTCAGGCCCTTAACCATCCGCTGGTACTCCTCATTTAGACGGTTTGTATCCTCCTCCCGAATTCTGAAAGAAGCCGTATCAAGGTGCAGCCGGGCACGGAATAGAGTGGTGTTTGGATTGTGACTCACTCCTGCACCAATTTGGTCAGCTGATTCAATGCGTTTGTGCTGCGCTCCACTGTACGTCTGTTGATCTTCACACTCATCGAATCTATGCAAACGTTGTCGATGTTGTGCGCCTCATCGAAGACCACACAGGACTCGCGCGTCATCTCCTTGGAGACAACCTGCGCGATCTTCGGATCCAGCAGATAATGATAGCTGTAAACCACAATTTGGGCATGGGAAATCTGGCAAGGAATATGATGAATGCAATTGAATGGCCAATGAATTAATTTGTCTCTGCACTCACGGCATAGCGGGCCAGGAAGTAGGGACACCAGTTGCGCGAGCGTCCATATTCTTTGAGATCATCAAGGCTGTAGATTCCAACCGGCAGGGTGGACTCCTTGCCCTCCAGAGTGAAGCCCTCAAAGTACTGACCTGCAAGTCAATAATTAACAATAGCAATTATACAGCGTAGATCTCCTCCACTTACAGATGGGCGTCTCGGTGTCCAACTCATGCTTGTCGCGTATGTAGCTGGCCGTGAGGCCATAGCACTTCCCGTCCACAGCTTTGCCCTCGCGCTCCTTGCTCACCTCCGGGTGGATGCACAAGTTCTTGCGGGAGCTCAGCACCAGGCCGGTCATGGCAGGCGGCTTCACACATTCCCGCTCATAGTAGACCATCAGGTTCTGCAGTTCGGCTATTACCTTCTCGATCTCAGGCACTGTGCGGGAGCAGTAAATCAGCTTGCGAATCGTCTCTGGATACTCAATCATGTAGGCCACAATCAGCGAGAGCAGCGTGGCCGTCTTGCCCGTGCCCGAGGGCATCTCCAGCAGACAGTGTCCTTTGGCGTCCAGGGTTCGCTTCAGCTCCAGCATGTACGCATACTGTTCCGGGTAAATGTATTCGTACGGGAAGTAGACGAGCAAGCCGTCAATACTCAACCTAAGGGTGGATTTCCACGGGTTTTAGCAACAGTTTAATTCAATTAATAACAAACTTACTTCATATTTCTGCTATTTCGAGGTAATTTGTTTTCTTCTGATTTCAAAACAATGGTGGCCGCATGCCGGCTAAATACCAGAAAAAACTGCCGATAAGAGATGACTATCGGTGTTTTTTGCTATGTATCGCAAAAGCCGAACTATCGCTATCGTGCAGAATTACAATAATAAATAAATTTAAGCGAAAATTCCAATTAAGTCGTTTTTCTGCACACAAACCAGCACTGACATGGACGATCTGAACCCTTTGGCGGGCACAGCTCACCTCCTGGAAGAAGTAGACAGTGAGTGGCTCCGGCCCCTAGTTGGCTGAACTACGGCAAAGTGTCTCAATTCTGACAAATCAAATTACAGAGAAGCTGATGGTGCTCTTGCGAGATGGCCGTACCCTAATTGGCTACCTGCGATCGGTGGATCAGTTTGCCAACTTGGTCTTGCAGCGCACCATTGAGAGGATACATGTGGGCAATCAGTATGGCGACATTCCACGTGGAGTGTTCATAATCCGAGGCGAGAATGTGGTCCTATTGGGTGAAATTGTGAGTAAACGAGCCCCGAAATTCCACCCCTTGTAACACCCCAACCAACAGGATCGCGAAAAGGAACAAAAGCTGCCACTCAAAGAGATATCTGTGGACGAGATCCTGGATGCCCAGCGACGAGAGCAGGAGCAGCGACATGAGAAGCATCGTCTGGTCTCCAAGGCACTTAAAGAGCGCGGCCTGGCCGTCAACGCAGAGTTAATCAATGAGGATTTCTGCTAGGAAGCAACTAAAGTAAATAGATTAAGCTTTAAAGGGAATTTTCGTCACTTTGTATATTTGTACTGCATTAAAAACTATTTTAAAACCTATATACATCAATTGCCATTTAACCTGTTTACCCCGACCCTTGCCCCGATCCCGCGCCACGACACTCCTCCTCGAGCAATATGTATTTCTCCAGTATTTGGAACATCTCCACCTTGGCCTTGATCTTGTGCACCCGCGACAGCTGCCGCAGGTAGGCCGCCACCGATTTACAGAAGTAATCGTCCTCGGTCTCTGTCCTGGTTGGCGTTGACGTGGCCAGAGCCGGAGCCAGGTGCTCGGTGGAGAGATGCTTCCGCTCCTGACTCATACTGGGCATGCAGACCATATAGTTGATGTCGCCCTGCGTGGTCTGGGCCGCTACAGCGTCTTGTGCAGATGTTGTGTTCGTCGTGGCGTCTGGATGCAGTGTTACCATATGGTTGCGAGCTGATGTTAGCATGGGCATTGGCTTGTGTTCACTTTCACCTTCACCATCAGCGATGTAGTCTTCCTCGAAGCTCTCCTGCTCGGGCTCTTGTCCATCGTCTGCCTCCACCAGCACCGAGTATGTCTCGGAGTGCGATGTCTGCACCTCCAGCTTCGTGTCGTAGTTGTGCTCATCGCTCTCCTCGTACTCCTGCGAATCGGGGGCCTCAATTAGGCTGTCTGTCTCGGCCGGCATCTTAATTAGTTTGTTTCTCCTCATGTCCACTTTGAGCCAACCAGTGGGCGTCTGGTCTCTTCTGTTGCGCTCGCGCCGTTTTCTAACAAAGTCCCGCAGAAAATCCATTTGTCTGAAGAAATCATTGCGGCCGAATTCGCTGGTGGGATGAAGACGCATCTGCTTGAGCTCACGCGAATAGCGATCCCTCAAACATGTCCAGCGCCGTCGAGCATCTGTAATTGAAATTCTCAAATTTTCGGCCACTTTCGCCCAGTCCTCCTCTTTACGCTGCGAGAGGCGAAACGAGGGAAGCTGCGGATCATACAGCGAGGGTGTTTCGCGTATGGTTTGTATCAGCTGGATATCCGCTGCGTCCAGGGGTCGATGGTTGGAGCTCATTGTTTTTAAATATAAAAGTTTTAAGTGTATTTTTTATGCGTTTAAAGTGTTTTCGTTTTTTTTAGTGATGGTGCCATCGAAACTATCGACTTTACATGGCTTGCGATGTTCGCAAAATATACATCGATATATTGATATATCTATCATCAATATATATCTAACATCCCTACGGCAGCCATTTTTTTCACGCTTTGTGTAAAAAGTCGTGGAAAAGGCAGAAAAGTCTAAAAAACAAATACAAAAGAGTTGTAAACGTCTTGTGGTACTTGTAAAAGTATGCAATATTGAAATTTGTGAGTGTTCGAAGTGTGTGAAACCAACAATTGAACATGGAAACTGTTGTCGCTTTCAACAATGAGGTAAGTCAGAGGCAGCGTAGCCGCCGCTTGCCTTGCTGATTGCGTGTGGAGGAGACTCGACTCGCTGCAAAGTACGCAAATTGTTTGGAGCGTGGTGCGGCGGTGGTGGTTATACAACGCCAAACCACTGATCCGATGCAATTGTTACAGTGAATTTGTGTATATACAATAAATAGTTATTTCTAGCCAATGCCCCAAATTTTTTCCCACAAGCGCAGCGCCGCCCAGGGTTGCATGTTGCCCTTGCCGTACACAATTGCGATAACCACAACCCCATGCCCACTTGTTCTTCCTTTCCATTCCAGCTCTCCGGACTCTATGACAGCCGACCGCCAATATCCAAGGCTAAAATGGCCGCAATTACCAAGTCGGCAATGCGAGCCATCAAGTTCTATAAGCATGTCGTCCAGAGTGTGGAGAAGTTCATACTGAAGTGCAAGCCAGAGTACAAGGTGCCGGGACTGTATGTTATCGACTCAATTGTGCGTCAATCGCGCCACCAGTACGGTCCCGAGAAGGATGTATTCGCGCCCCGCTTCCAGCGCAACCTCACAGAGACCTTTGCCAATCTGTTCCGCTGCGCTCCCGAGGACAAGAGCCGCATCATTCGCGTCCTCAATCTCTGGCAGAAGAACAATGTCTTCAAGTCGGACGTCATCCAGCCCATCTTCGATCTGGCCGATCCCAATCATCCGATCTACCATCAAATGCAAATGCAAATGCAGATGGGCGGCGGACCCGGTGGCAACGTGGGCCCTGGTCCCAGCAGCAGTGGAGCCCTAAGTCTGGCCGATATCTCCAGCGGGCCGAATGGCCTCAACACCTCTGGAATGAGCCAAATGGACCTGAGCATGAACAGTGGTCCGGGCGACGACAAGATGGGCGGGGTGCCCGATTTATCGGTGAGTTGCTTCTGCAAATGGTTGGGCTTGGAACACGCACACACACAGACAACATACATACTAATCGAAGTGATATTTTGTATCCCTTTACGCATACTAACTCACATATCTCTTCCAATCTTTGTTGTTCGCTGTCTCTTGCTTCATGTCTTGTGCTAACCAAACATCTTTCGTCCCCGCACACGCAAACACACACGAAACACCCAGATGGGTCATGAGAAATCCTACGGTGGCGGTGTCAGCAGCAGCAGCAGCTCAAAGCGTCATCACTCGGAACAGCATTATATGAAGCGTCAGTCGGGATCGTCGAGCAAGTCGCATCATCACAAATACAGCAAGAGTTCGCACGAGATCGACTATGATGTGCGCTCTATTATGGACGATGAGGAGGACAACATGCAGCGGATGATGGCCGATGATCATCATCATCATCATCACCATCACTGCATGGGCGACGACTCGCCCCCGACATCATCCAATCTGCTAGACGTATGGCCCGAACCCCAATCGATCACATTTCGCTTTTCTGTTTAGTTTTTTAATTTATTGTATTAACACGGCCTGCCCTGCTGCCCATTCCTTGAGATATTCCTATGCCTAATCCCTGATCTGTCCTTTCCAGAACAACAATCTCAAGCAACTGCTCAATGATCCGAATGTGCTGCGGCAGCTGCAAACTCTGCAGAATTTCCAGAAGTTCAAGCAGCAGGAGGAGAACCAAAAGATGCGCTACCAGGACGATGCCCTGCAGCAGCATTTGCAGAACGTCTTGAAGGTATATTATCGTTGTGTAGTCCCTGCTAATCTGTAATATATCTGAGCATAACAATCCAATCCTCAGGGCACTGCTGGCATGCCCCCTGGCATGGGAATGGGCATGGGCATGAACCTCAACCACAGTGACGGGCAGGACATGAACAAGGATGTGGAGTTCATCTCGGAGCAGCAGTCGATTGAGGTATACCAAATCTATCTATCTACCTATCTATCTTAGTTGTTTGTTTCGGCCTCGTGTATTCTTTTGACCCGCCCCCTCGTATGTGTGGGTCAAAAGCATAAACGAGTCGCCCATCCGACACCTGCTGTTGTTGTTCCTATCGCGAAGACATACACACACACACACGCTCCCCGGAGCGGGGCGGACTGTGCTGACGTGCAGTTGAGTCTGAGTTTGTCGAAAAAAAAAAAAAAAAACACTCACAAGAAGTACGCCAAAAATGTTGTTATAACCGAGCGAGCGAGCGGTGTAGGAATGTTTCAAATTTAAAATCTAATCTAACTGTAGCTATAGCTGGGATAAAATTAAACTTCTTTAAGCAATTACTTTACTACCATAATGTGGCTCAGCAATTGGTTGCACCTTAGAGGGGCAGGCATTATTGAGCCACAAGTGTAGACACTTTTTGAACTTGCGAACTCTTCTAGATAAATGTAAATGCTGCAAACAAATCATTGAAAAATCATTGCAAATTATTTGAGAACGAACAAAACAAAAACAGTTGAAATAGTTGATTTAAAGATTAAAGATTTAATGTTGGTTGTATGACAAAAACAAATAAAACAAAAAAACGAAAAAAGAGAAGAGAAGCCAAAGGTAAGGTTTTTAAAGAAATATAATGTCCGGCGGAACAACCCTACCCCCGTACCCGATGCTATAACAACGTTTGGTAAGTGCTCCTAAATATGTAAAACCATTCAAAACCAAAAGAATCAAAAATTTTGCTCGAAAATGCCAAATGCCAGGACAGGACAAACGAAAATGTTAAGAATCGTCGAACCACACGTCAACACACGCCAGAGAATGCAGTTTGTTTTTTTTTTTTATTTCTTTTTCGTTTCTCTCTGTAGTCCTCGAATCTATCTCTCTCTCTCTTGAGATCCCTCTACTAATCCCCCATTCCCGCCTCATCCCGAACTCCTTTCGTTTTACGCTTACGCAAATGTTAACGTTTTTATATCACAAAATCAATTCTCTCAAACTTCTTGCCAACACTCCCGACTCCAATAGGTGATCAATCTGGATGGGGCCGATTCGCGCAGTCCAACGCCCGACCGGGAGAGATACAAGCGAAGCCGAAGGAACAGCCGTAGTCGTACTCGCTCGCCACGCGGACGTGGCGCAGGAGGTGGCGGCGGCGGTGGAGGCGGTGGCGGCAATGGCAACGATCGACGACGTCGCGGATCCCGATCGCGCAGTCGTTCGCCCCGTTCCAGTCGACGCCGAGGATCACGGGATCGCGATCGCATGGAGCGCAACAATCGGGACAAGGAGCGTGACCGGGAGCACGAGCGTGAGCGACGCAAGAAGGGGCTGCCCGATATTAAGAAGGATCACCTCAGTGGTAAATATGTCGTCCGGCACACACACCATTGGCCAAAAACCGTTCCCAAAAACGTTTCTTTTTTCCCCCCGGAAAAGTTCGTTTGCTGGGAACTGTTTTTGTGGTGTTTTTTCCATTTCCATTTTCATTTTGGTTTTTATTTCTCTTTTTTGTGTGTTTCTGCTAATCCGGAAGAGTTCTCTCCTCTCTATTCCTGCAGCTCCTTGGCTCGTGTTGACGTGTGTGTGTGTGTGTTTTAGCTTTAGTGATTCTTGCACTTTGATATCTGGCATATTTTAAGACTACTCAAACCCTAGACCCACCTCTAGATTCAATCCTCCCCCCTGTCATGCGTTTTCGAGCAATGTTTTTGAAGATTATAAACAATTTCATACGATACGATACGATACGATACGATACGATACCATCCATAAATAATAAGATATATACAAAAAACAACAGTACTCAAAATCATATACATATACAGCAAAAGGATTCATTTTGAATCCAACTCAAATGAGGTTAAAAATTGAATGCAATAACTAAAGGTTCAACTGACGACACGCACCGCTCAACGAGCTAGAGGCGCCCCACCCCAACCCCTGCACACTCTTACTCGTTGATAGATCCGATCTATATATATATATATATATATTAGATATTTATATATCGCGTTTATGTTACAGTTTGCAGCACCACCTTGTGGGTGGGCCATCTGTCCAAGCTGGTCTACCAGGAGGAGCTGTCGGACACCTTTGGCGAGTACGGCGACATCGTGAGCATTGATCAGATTGTGCCACGCGGATGCGCCTTCATTGTGATGAATCGTCGCCAGGATGCACACAAGGCGATGCAATCGCTGAAGAATCACAAGCTCCAGGGACGGGCCATAACCATCTCCTGGGCCGCCGGCAAGGGCGTGAAGAGCAAGGAGTGGAAGGACTTCTGGGACCTGGAGCTGGGCGTCACGTATATACCCTGGAACAAGCTGAGTCCGGAGACGGATCTCGACACCCTCGAGGAGGGCGGCATGTTCGACGAGGACACCATGCCCAGCTGGATCAAGCAGAAGATCAATCAGGCCAAAAATGTCGGCAAGGAGAAGAACTCGGCGTCCACACCAGAGACCGCTACGGGGGCCGTGCCAGGGCCACCGCCAGGACTGATGTTCGGCATCGATACTACACAGCCGCCGCCAGTGGGACCTGTAGGTCCAGTAGGTCCACCACCGCACGGCCCTGGCGCACCGCATCCGCCCGCACTCATGGGCATGGTGAGGGGACAATATCCGATGGCTCCGCCCATGGGGATAGGCATGCCGCCACCGATGATGATGCCACCGACAAATATGCCGCCACCGATGATGATGCCCACGACAACCATGCCGCCACCAATGATGATGCCCCCGGGCATGATGCCGCCCGGTTTTCCAGGTACGATCTCCCATTA